CTCTGCTGGAAAAAGAAATCAGCATCTCCATAAAGCTTGTGAGCAGGTAGAATGATGAAGTGCTCCTCATTTTCCATACCAACTTCAAATCAACCGTGGCAGAGCGACCACCACCAATCCCAGCAGATCATCACAAAGTAGGAAGCTCACACAGCTTGGATGAGCTGCACTCTTTCTTAACATAACCCAGAGAAAGCTGAGCAGCATCAATCCTGCTTCCAGAGATTCAAACTTCAAATAAAATATTACAATAATCTTTGACTTTTGATTTTCATGCTACCTTTGTGAATTACATTTTCAAATACAACCCCAATCCAGTTTTTTCGAGATTATACCAAAACGTCCTGAAACGCAGCAGATTAAGTTCACGGTGGAGTGTGACTGTGAGGGTATAAAGAGGCTCATCAATAACAGTGTCGTCTGCATGAAAGAGATAGATGGCTATCCAGACCACAGTCAGCATTTTAACACTCTGAGAGATTCACTCAGGACTCATTTGATGACACGACAAAGGTATGGCTCAGCAGCTTTCACATTTCATACGTCTTCCACTGAGCATCAGTTACCATGACGATACAGCCAGGTAGAATAAAACCCGTGTGACATTAAAGATAACTTACTGACAATCGCACTTCTGACTTTTTTCTGCTGTTCAGGTGTGTGTCTCCATGGCAACAGGTGTGTGCATGTTGCTGGTTGTGGGTATCAGCGTGTGTGCAGCGTTTAACCTCGACACATCATTTCCACTGCTGAAGATGGGCGAACGAGGAAGTCTGTTTGGATTTTCCGTTGCTCTGCACCAAGACCTGAAGACAGAGAGTTACCTGTGAGTACACACCTGTGTGTGTGTGTGTGTGTGTGTGTGTGTGTGTGTGTGTGTGTGTAAATGATCTGACTTCAGACTGAACCTTAGGTCAGCAGATCTCTACTGTCCTCAAAGTGACCATTAACACCAGTGTTGTGACAGAGCGGGCTTGTGTGGGTCCTTTTCTATAGATGAAGAACTGCTGGATTATTTTGATGAAGCACAGTTCAAAGCAACATTGTTTCCACTTTTCATCAGTTAGAACCAAATCTATCACAGCTAATCAAAGCAGCAGTAAAACAGGAAGTGAGGTCATATCTCAGAAACACTTTCATGTGTGAATAATAAACGTGGCATTTGGAGTTGTGAGGACATCTAAAATAGTGGATCATTTTGTGGTCATCGTGGGCAACATTTCTGTCCGCTCTCTGGCTTCACGGAGTAGTCTGTCTGGCTTCAGGTGACTGTTCTCCACCGAATTCTGGCCAACTTCTCCGCTTCCTTCACTGGACCCTATCAAACACACACCGTACTCTGTGTGTGCATCAGACACACACAGAGTCAGGTGAATGCCCCGCAGCGTTAATAATATGTCTGAATTCTTCTGAAGTCTGCGCAAA